GTTTTTTTCTTTTTCTTTTAGATTTCACATATAAGTGGGATTATACAGTATTTGTCTTTCTCTGTCTTATTTCACTTACTATAATGGCCTCAAGGTTCATCCATGTTGTCACAAACAGCAGGATTTTATTCTTTTTATGGTTCAACAATATTCCTCTGTGTATGTGTGTGTGTGTGTGTGTGTGTGTGTCCACCACATCTTTATTCATTCATCGATGGACTCTTAGGTTGTTTCCATGTCTTGACTATCGTAAATAGTACTGCTATGAACATGGGAGGGCAGATATCTCTTCAACATAGTGTTTTTGCTCCCTTCAGATATATTCCCAGAAGTGCAATTGTTGGATCATATGGTAGTTCTATTTTTAATTCTTTGAGGAACCTCCATACTGTTTTCCACAGTGGCTGCACCAGTTGCATTCCCATCAGCAGTGCACAAGGTTCTTTTTTCTCCACATCCTCGCCAACACTTGTTATTTCTGGTCAATTTGATTTTAGCCATTCTGACAGGTGTGAGGTGATATCTCATTGTGGGTTTGATTTGCATTTCCCTGAGGATGAGTGATGCTGTGCATCTTTTCATGTTTCTGTTGGTCTCTTCATTTCTTTGAAGAAATGTCTGTTCATGTCTTTAGCCCAGTTTTTAGTTGGATTGTTTGGGTTTTTTGGCATTGAGTTGCATAAATTCTTTATATATTTTGGATATATAACCCTTATCGGTATGTTATTTGCAACTATCTTTTCCCATTCTGTAGGTTGCCTTTTAGTTTTGTTGTTTCATTTGCTGTGCAAAAACTTTTCATTTTGATATTCTTGCTTTTATTTACTTTTAAGAGACATTCCTAGAAAAATGTTGCAGTGCCTGATGTCAGAGAAATTATTGCTTGTGCTCTCTTCTAGGACTATTATGGTTTCAGGTCTCACCTTTAGGTCCTTAATCCATTTTGAGTTTACTGTTCAGCCTTAAAAAGGAAATCCTTTGAGGAGCACTAAGTAGTATATAGAACTGAATCACTATATTAAACCTAAAACTAATTTAATACTGTATATGAACCATTAAAAAAAAAAAAAGAAGGAAACCCTGCCATTTGCAGTAACATGGGTGAACCTGGATGACATTATGCCAGGTGAAATAAGCCAGACACAGAATGACAAATACTGCGTGATCTCACTTATATGTGGAATCTAAAAAAGTTGAACCTATTGTAACAGAGAGTAGAATGGTGGTTACCAGGGACCAGGTGTAGGGGAAGTGGGAGATGTTGGTTAAAGGTACTAATTTGCAGTTACAGGATGAGTAAATTCTGCATCCCTAATGTACAGCATGATAGCTACAGATGGCTATGATGTATACTTGAAATTTGCTGAGTGTGTAGATATCAAGTGTTCTCACCACACATACACACAAAATGGGAACAATTTGGGGTGGTATGTAAATATGCTTCATTTGGGTAATCATTTCACAATATATACATATATCAAAACATCATGGTGTACAACCTTAAAAACATAGGATTTTTATGTGTCAATCACATCTCAAAAATAAAATAATACCTACAAAACAATAAGTTTTATATTTTAGTAAAAAGACTAATGTTTAGTGTAAAAGACTATTTTTGTAAGAATATCAATCACCGGTCCAGAAAAAAAAAACTAAAAGCTTTGTTCCTCTAAAAGTGGAATATTACCCTTAGGTCCTTTTAGGAGGTATGTGTTTATTCACATTCAATTAAAGCTTCAAAATGATGTTTCTTCAGGCCCTAATATACTTTACTCTTTATGGTCTCTACACAGAGAAATCATAAATGCTTTTCTCCTCAGAACTTCATGGAGGGGAAATCCATTTCTGGTAGCTTATGCTGTGATGAGCCAAATACAGTTTACTTTTAGCTCCATGGTTGTATGGGGGCTGTATGGGGATCCCAGGTAGGAGGTAAGACCTACAAAGCCCTAATCCTGCAATTCAATCTCAACGAGGACTGCACCTGGCTACCAGACAGATCAGAACACAAAAGCATCAGAATCACCCTTCCCGCTTCAAGTAGAGGGTTTGGGCTTCTAAAGAGGATGGCTGAAGTCTCTGGCCATCCTGGCAAATCTCTGTGGGAAGATGTCAGGTGCTTTTAGAAGTTGTGGTAGTAAATCCCAAACCCCTGGTGAGGGAATGGCTGACAGTCCCTGCCCAAAGACTGTGCTCCCAGCTTTGGCTCACAGGGAGGTGGAGAACTTGTCTCAGGTCACGTTGTAAATGGAATGACCAGCATTAGTACCCAGCTAGTCTAGTTCTGGATTCCAGGCCCTAAAACACTAAATTTGTAGTCCCAGACTTTGCTATGCGTTCTAATCAGCAGGGGAGCTTCCCCAAACCCAGATTCCCAGGCTGAACACCATAGAATTAGATCAGAATTCCTGGGGGTGGGAACGAGGCCATCGGGTGTTTTTTCTTTAACTTTTCATTTTGAAATCAATATCCACTCACCAGTGTTTTCTCTGAGTGCCCAGGTCATGGCAGCGTGAGGCCAAGCTGAGCACAGGGCCCCGCTCCAGGAGCCTCCCTCAGGGCTCCAGGAGAACTTCCTGTCAAACCTCTCAACAGCCCTCTGGGGTAGATGCAATCTAATCCCCACTCAGTGGGTAAGAAATCCCAGAGAAATCACTCAATGTGCCCAAAGTCACAGACTAATACAGGTGGGAGAGGACTAGAATCTAAGCCACCTGGTTCCAGGGCCCAAAGTCTTACCCAATCCCCGTGGTTCTGAAGCTGGAGAGTCTCAGAGCACCTGGAGGGAGGGTTTTGCGAAAGCACAATTGCTGGGCCCTGGGCCCAGATTCCAATCCAGGTGGGGGCCCTATGCCCTGGAAGGTGGAACGTACTTCTCTTTGGCCCCCACAGAAACAAAGGAGAAGGGGGACTTCCATATTTCCTAGACTGCTAGGGCTAAGAATCCTATACATTATTCTTGGTTTGTCGAGAAAGACAGGACAGCAGCGTGGCAGAGTGAGAGAAGGGAGATGAGCAGTTCACGTTTCTTAGACGCTTCCCCCCCCACACACACACCAGACGAAGGCTGTGACATCCCCATTTACAGAAGAGAGAGTGAGCAAAGGAAATAGTAAATCACTTGTCCAAAGTTACACGGCAGGTGACGGACTAAGGTGGAAGAATTGGGGTTTGTCCACCCTCGTGTTTTCCCTCTAGGGCAGCTTGGCCCTCTGTCGGGATTCCGAGGGCGTTTGGAGAGACCCTGTCAGAATGGGCAGAAAACAGTCATCCTGGTCTGCCCTGTCCAACGGCAGGGCCTGGGACGGTCCTTACGAATGAGGACGTGGGGATGGGAGGGAAGGAAGAAGCATCTGGGAAGATGCTAAATTTGCTTTACCCTGAGAGAGGGGCCAGGGAAGAAGGGTTGCTTCCCCTTTCAACAGCCTGGGATTTCAAACCTCAGGGGGAATGAATTCTACATAAGAAGATCTCACCTGACAACTTCCACATGAGTGTGAGGAACAGCAGAGATGGAAATGGAAGGAAAGGGGCTTGGATTCCAGGCCCACCTCCCCCCTCCCCGACTTTATAGAATCGCTGGCAAAGCAGTTCAGTCCCGAGCACTGCTTCTTCTGGAAAGCGAAGAGATCCTGGATGCTGCATGGTTGACGAGGGTGGTAATGATGGCAGCTACTAGTGTTTGAGGGGTTTTGATGAGAACAGATGTTTTACTACTTTGTAAATTGTGAGGCTAATAGGAGCCCTGGAGCACTCCTCCTGGTGAGACACACTTCTCCTGAATGACAAAGGAAATATGATGCTATTGTAATATACGCTGTGAATGTCCCCTGAGTTAGAAAAGGCTAGAAAAGCTGAGATCATGCAAACCCTCCCAGTGACTGTGGTCACAGCCCGGTCCCCGGAGGGCAGTCCCGCTGTGCTATGGCAACATGAACAGAGGATCTAAACGAGCACTTATTTTAAAGAATAAATTCACCAAAACATAAAATGAGTGTGGAATGCCCCACTTTCATAAAAATAAAACATTTTAAGCAAAGAGTCATTGAAAACAAAGCACTACTTAAGACAAATAGTTTCCGAAGTGGTTAAATTTATTTTTAAAGTGCAAATAGATCACTCTTCAACACATATACAACAGTTCTAATTCCCGAAAATGACATCTGCTGGAGAGAAGCACAGTCTTCTTGATTCACACGCCTCAGTCGTCCCACGCACAACCGCGGCACACCATGCCTTCAACACACCAGAGGAGGGCTCTGGGAAGCACCTGCACGAGCTCAGAACAGGGAGAGTTCCTTATACTTTCTGTTTATTGAGCTAAAACAGGATGAATTCTCCCATTTTACATCAAACACTGAAACTAAAGTATTCATCCCAACAAGGAATAGGCCAGTTCTGACTTTTACTTTCCAACTTCCCACTACAGTGTATTGAAACACAAAATAGCAGCCCCAGGAGTGGCCCCAGCGTCTCTGTATATCGTCAAACATTGCCATCTTACTCATTATCTGAATTAAACACTACAAAATGTAAATTAGTGATCTGAGTGTAAGTATCCAATTTTCCATGAAAAATCAATTAAAAAAAGAAAAATTATCAAATACTCTAAGCATTATTTTTCATATTCCTAAGACTATAAAATAAACCCCTTTATAAATAAAAAATGTACTTCTATCAAACACATTATACAACACAGACTCACGAATTGCCTTAAAAATCCTTAACATTTTAAACACTAAACCCAGAAATACACATAAATTTCTGTAAGAGTAAACAACATTGCAAACAAAAATAATTGATGACCCTATCATGTTACTCTTAGTGCACAGTCCTGGATTGACAGTAACAAGTACAGTTAAAATGAACACTGAGGTCACATGATGTAAGTAAGCTGATGCTCCTCAAATGACATTAAATACTTGCTTTGAACTCTGGGGGTTTAGGCTTTGCAATAAATATGTAATAAATATCTGCAGTACCTCCTACATGTTGAGCACTTATCTTTCTCCATTTGAAAGTCTTTCTCCAGAGTCACACTGTCTAAGGGCCGTCCCAGGGGGTGGGGAGTAGGGATTCTGCAGCAGGTCCATCAACAGAGTCATCTTGGTATCCATGTGTTCCTGGAGTTGATATATTCGCTGATCGATGTAGTCCACAAGTTTCTTTTCCAGCAGTTCCATATTTTTAGTAAGAATCTTTTCCAAGTAGGTGCACACAGGTTGCTCTTCCATTCTAAAAACAAATGTTAAAAAACCAGTATAACAATTATCCCTGGTATCGTAACAGAAACAACCGAACTGTACTGAAACAAGCAGCCGACGTACGCTGCGGAAATCTGTCTCCGCAACGGTGCCGTCTGGGTACAAGGTATTTCCGGGTGCCAAAATACACCTACCAACAGGCAACCACAACCCCGAATGCCCAAAGCATTCTGTATCTGATTCTTTCAACATTTCAAGCATACAAGTGAAATGAGGCTAGAACAATGAAGACAGAACGTCTACCCTCACAGAACAAGTCTCTTACAAAGGGTCTTTTGATTTTGAGCCCCAAGTCAAAACCGATCTGCCCCAATTTTTTTAAGGTCTCCACGTATGTCTCCCAAGAACTTCCCCAAACAACCCTACAATTTCAAGTTTTCTCCTTGTCACCCACACCACCTCACTAAATAATGGAAGGTTCTTTTCTAACCTAATACGAAAACATTTAAAAATGAATGTAACTGGAACGGGCAGATAGGAATAAAAATAGTAAAAAGGGGCGGCTGGGTAGCTCGAGTCAGTTAAGTGTCTGACTTCAGCTGGGGTCATGAGCCCAAGATCCCTGCTCAGGGAGGAGTCTGCTTCCCCCTCTGCCCCTCCCCCCGCCCATGCTCTCTCTCTCTCTCTCTCTCTCGCTCTCTCAAATAAATAAAATCTTTTTTAAAAATAAATAAATAAATAAAAAGCGCTCGTTTCTCAAGCTCACAACCAATGAACACCAGGACACTGACTTTCAGGGCGTGGTCCACAAACCCCCAGGGTCGCCATGACTTTTTCAGCTTCCGTAAGTGGCAAGTGTTCTTACACTACTACTAAGACGAGATCCGAACTCTTCATCCTCGGATCCTCACCAACATACAGTGACATTTCCCAGAGGCTACACGAGGTGTAATGTCACGGCTCAGGTGATCAAAAGAAGCTGTGGTTGAGTGTTTTTCTGTTTCTTAGACTTTCTGAAGGTAGTCAATTGAGGGTATAAATATTTTCTTCAGAGATCAACCCCGTTTATTCATTTATTCTCAGTACTTCTGCGGTCTTACTAGCTACTGATGCTATATGCTGGAGGGCCACATAGATGAGAATGCAACCAGAAGCTAGTATCGATTCTATACCTGTCACATAATACCATTCTAAGTTTTTTTAGAAAATATATTTCTCATAAAAATTGTTATGTTACTGTATAATGGGTTTGTTATCTTTTTTTAAAAGACTTTATTTATTTATTTGACAGAGAGAGAGCACAAGCAGGGGGAGCAGCAGAGGGAGAGGGAGAAGCTGGCTCCTTGGAGGACTCGATCCCAGGACCCTGGGATCACGACCCGAGCCGAAGGCAGCCGCTTAGCCGACTGAGCCACCCAGGCGCCCAATGGGTTTGTTATTTTTCAACAAATGAATCCTGTGCTCGCTTCGGCAGCACATATATTAAACAAATGAATCCTTTCATATACTCTACATAAATAAAGGGTCTTTAGAGTCCTCAATTATTTTTCAGAATATAAAGACCAAAACGTTTGAGAACCCCACTCTAGAATATATAAGGGGTTTTTAAAACGGTTATTTTTTTTTCCCAAGTAACTCCAGATCCACAGGAAGTTGTAAAGATACTAGAGTTCCCCAGTACCCTTTACCCAGTGGTTACATCTCACCTAACTCTGGCAGAATACGAAAGCAGAAAACTGATGTTGGCACGGTGTGCGTGGATGCTGTTCTATCACACGTACACACATTCACGTGAACATCACAACTGAGATGCACAACTCTTCCTTCATGACAAAGATCTCCCTCCTGCCACCCCCTACACTCACACCCACTCCCCTAACGCCCTCCACCCCTAACACCTGGCAACCACCAACATGGTCTCCATCTCTACAACTTTGAGGATGTTATGCAAATACAATCACACAGAATGTGACCTCCTGAGATTCTCTTTTGTTCCTCAGCATAATGTCCTCAGGAGCCATCCAGGTTATTGCGCGTGTCAGTGGTCCGTTCCTTTTATTGATTACCACCCTGTGATATGGATATACCCCAGTTTGTTTAAGTGTTCATCTATTTTAAGACATTTTGGTTGCGTCCAGTTTTCGGCTGTTACGTAGAAATAAAGCTTCGCATGAAGAACTGGGCATAGTTTCCTGTGTGGACCTGAGTTTTCATTTCCCCGGGATAAATGCTCAGGAGTAGGACTGCTGGATCACACGGTAAATGTTTACTTTTCAAGAAACTGCCAAAGTATTTTTTAGAGCGGCTACAGCATTCTACACCCCCACCGCCAATGTAGAAAAGATCCAGTTTCTCCACATCCTCATCAGCATGGGGTATTGTTACCATTTTTTGTTTTTATTTTAATCTTCAAATAACTGTGCAGTAGTATCTTGTGGTTTTGCTATTCATTTCCCTGATAGCCACGAGGTCAATGATGATCATCTTTTCACTTGCTTATTTGATATGTGTACCCTTTCTAGTAACATGCCTCCATGTCTGTTGCCCACCTTCTGTTTGCATTTTTTTCCAACGTGAGCTTTGGGAGCTACAGAAATGCAGGCCATTTGTTAAATTTGTGACTTGCAAATACTTTCTCTCACTTTGTATCTGTATCTTAATCTTCTTAACGGGGTCTTTCACAAGGCAGAAGTTTTACATTTTGATGGGATCCAATATATCAATGTTTCCATTACCGTGATTCTGGTATCATCTAAGGGTCTTTTCCTACTCTCAGGTCCCCAAATGTTCTCCTACATACTACTGGAAAAGTTTGATAGCTTTATGCTTGTTTGTTTTTAAAGATTTTATTTTTAAGTAATCTCTACACCCAAGGTGAGCATCAAACTCACAACCACAAGATCAAGAATTGCACGCTCTGCAGAAAATAAATAAATTAAAAAAATAAAATTAAAAATTAAAAAAAAAAAGAGTTGCACACTGTGCCGACTGAGCCAGCCAGAAGCCCCTCTCGCTTTACGTTTTACGTTTAAGTCCACGCTCCATGTTGAGTTATAGCTCCTAAAATTACTGGAAACAGCTACAGGCAGCAGTTAGTGAAACAAATCTCTTTTCCTCCAACTGATTCTTCTATCTACGAAACCTAAACCACATTTGTCTGAAATACTTACGCAACACCAACCACGCCTTCCCCAGCCTTCGTGATGCCTTCCTGCCACTTGGTGTTACGGCCCACACGGAGATGGTTAACCTGACTACATAAATTCTGGAGAAACGGCAGCAACTCAGAGTTAGGTACATTTGAGTTGTCACTCGCTTTTTTCGGCAGGAAAGAAGAAACTGCGTTTCTGAGGTCATTCTCAAGAAGAGAACGGTTTTGTGGCACAAGGTTATACTCTTTGAGGTTTGTAGTGTTTCCTCCACCCGGTGGCTGTGGACTTTTATCAACGTAAGCGTTTAAGTCTTCAGTCAGGGTTCCAGATGTCAATCCGGTTCTAAAAGGGAAAGGCGTGGAGGGTGACTTGTCTGAGGCTCCTGAAGCAACTGACGACTGCAGGTCCATCATACGTTTGTAGCCAGTATTTCCCAAAACCGACTGAAGCTGCTCTCCGATGGGAACACAATTCTAAGCAAGGTAAATAAATACATGTTACCACTGGTAGTAGCGACAGCTAACTTTTGGGGTAATTACTGTAAGTCAAGCAACGTGCATTCGTTCATGTGATCCTCTAAACATCCATATGATGTAGGCTACAGTCTTAAGTTGAGGAGACCACAGCTAAGGTGAAACCAAGGCTAAAGGTAACCTGGCTAAAGGTAACACAACTAGTGTAACACAACTAGTAAGTGGCAGAACTGGGACATGAACCCAGACCACCTAACTCCAGAGTCAAGGCTTTTAATGGTTTCACTGTAGTTCTTGCTAAAGGAAATATTAAATGCTTAGTAAAATTGCATTAGCATTAATGTCTCCACTACGAAGGCCTCCTTAATTTACGGTAATAAAACACAGTACTCTCAACTGAGGCACAATAATTAAAAATATTCTTAGATTTAAATATCACCCATCGAGTTTCCCAGATAATAAAGCTAACCTAAGGAAATCTTTTATAACTAGCTTATCATGGAAGATACACCAGATAGCTTATATACTAGAAGTCTGATGTTTCGGGGCACCCGGGTGGCTCAGTCATTCAGCGTCTGCCTTCGGCTCAGGTCATGATCCCGGGGTCCTGGGATCGAGCCCCGCATCGGGCTCCCTGCTCGGCGGGAAGCCTGCTTC